CAGAGACCAAATCTTTCTTTCAGTTCAATCTCTATACTATACGACGATTCTTCTTCCAAATCCCGTAACAGTAATATTTTGTACAGATCGAAAACAAAAATCCCAACAATTTTGACTTCTCTGTAATGGCAGAAATTGTAAAACCAAATCTCCTCCTATCCACAGAGACCACCAATTTTGATGATGAGACAAGCTCCATGGTTACTTCTCTCGAGACATCGATTTTTCAGATGGGTTTTCCTTTGGAGACCGAAGAGATAATTACAGAGATGATTGGTAAGGAGAGACAACATTCACCTAGAGATGATTACCTCAAGAGACTCAGAAATGGAGATTTGGATTCCAATGTCAGAAATCAAGCCCTTGATTGGATTTGGAAGGTCTGATTTTGTCTCTTCTTTTACAATTCTTTCTTCTGTTGACTCAATTTCTTACCAAGTCAATAATCTCAGAGACTTTGATCTGAAATAAAAGACATGACTTTGCCTTTTTTTATTACAGGCTTGTGAGGAACTTCAGTTTGGACCATTGTGTATATGCTTAGCGATTAACTACTTGGATCGTTTCTTATCAGTTCATGACTTGCCTGTAAGTCAGATAGACTCATTCACTGTCCTAAGATTTAATCTTTTTGATTATTGATTGAAAAGATTTTATGATTCTTTGTCTAGAGTGGTAAAGCTTGGACTGTGCAATTGTTAGCTGTTGCTTGTTTATCATTGGCAGCCAAAATTGAGGAAACTAAAGTTCCTGAGTTATTACATTTGCAGGTTAATTGTAATCTCTTATTGTCTCTAAATTCATTGGTTTATTGTAGTGAATCCTTTTTAAACGAGTGAGAATGATGAAATTAACAGGTTGGAGACCCGCGGTTCAAGTTTGAGCCTAAAACGGTTCAAAGAATGGAACTTTTGGTGTCTAATGTATTGAGATGGAGGTTACGAGCCGTGACACCGTGCTCTTACATAAGATACTTTCTTGGTAAGATCAATGGATATGATCAAGAACCATCTAGCAGATTGGTATCTAGATCACTACAATTGATAGCAAGCACAACCAAAGGTGAAAGATCTCTCCTTTTTCAATTGGATTTTGGTTTCTTTAACCTTGAAACCAGTTTTGCTTTTCGGTTATGGATTATCGGTGTTCGTTTTCTTTTGTTTTTATGATTTTGAGTTGAGAATGATTGATGGTGGTTGTGATTTGTGAGCAGGTATTGACTTCTTGGAGTTTAGAGCTTCAGAGATTGCTGCTGCAATTGCTCTTTCTGTTTCTGGAGAACTTCACACAACACACTTTGACAAATTCTCCTTCTCTTCTTTCTTCTCACACCTTGAAAAGGTAAGAAAAAAGTTAACCAAAAGTCTCTTTTCGTAAATAACAAAAATTGGTGGTTCATTGTCATAAAGAATATGGAATCATATGAAACATAGATATATGCATACATTCATGCACATTTGTGTATTTATGTCCCCATGTTTCATGTATTTAAGAAGGAAACTGCTTAATGAGTCTGAATAATGAATACCCTTTCAAATCACAAAACAAGGACCAATTAAATTACAGTCTCTAGTTGTGAGTCTCGTGACACACTCACATGTTGGTAAAAATGTTCTGTTTTTGTTTTTCTCACTCCAAATCTGATGATGGGTTCCAACTACAATCAAACTTACATGATCTGGGTCCTCATGGGGACCAAAACAAAGGCTCAAGC